ATCTTTAAAAAAAAATTTGCACACAGAAATAACATAAATTAATTTTGATTTTAATATTATTATTACGTAAATAATTTTAATTTATTAATTAATTAAATTTAAATTGATTTTTATGATTTTTATATAAATTAATTATTAAATTATACATTTATTAGCGTTACAAAGACACAGCATAAAAAATCTTTAAAAAAAAATTTGCACACAGAAATAACATACCCGCCTCATATTTACCGCCACCAGTTTCTCGCTTTTTGCAACACCGAGAATATCGGAAGATGCTGCCACGTGGCTTTTCAATTTTAAACCAAAAAATAAAAGATAAAAAAAATGTAAAAATTCATCTTCTTCGATTCTGAATTTTCAGTACCCAAAACCATTGCAAATCTGAATGATCCTCAAGCATTTCCGGTTTTCCGATGGATTTGTTTCCCTCATTTGACGATGAACCTTCTCTGAATGCCTACAACCGGCTGTTCAATGCCCTCTCTCTGATCCCGATCTCGCACTATCTTCTCGCTCTCTCCATTCTCTCCGCTATCTTCCTCTACAATTTCTTCGAATTCCACTTCCTCCACGATTTGCTCACCGGATTCCGCGGCAGCCCCGTCGTACTCACTCACAACCACTCCTCTCACATCTACAACGCCGTCGTTTCCAACTGCCGCATCCTTCATGGCAGGTATTCTTCCCGAATCTGCTCTTTTTCTTTCTCAAATTTGCCGCGAAATTCAATCCTTTTGCACTGGAATTTAGATTTTAAAATTTATTTTTCTTTTTAAGTTTCTAGCAATCGAAGCCTTTAATTATTTTTTCTAATGTTTTTCTGGTTTATTTTCTGATACATGAGGTCTTGAGCTTAGTTTTTGATGTGTGCATTAATGGAGGTTGGTGTTTAGTTTTGTTAATTTTTTAATTATGTAGGTATCTAGCAACGCCGTGGCTTTCGAGTCCTCATTTTCAGACTGTTTTTCTCAATTTTTTTGGGAATCCTCCAGCATTCAGTTACAGGAGGTGATGACTTTAACTTTACCTGAATGCTTTCTCTTTTTAATTGTTTAACTATTCTAATTGAAACAGTATAATGTTCTGATTCGTATGTATATAAATAAAGAGAAAAGTTGATGATGCCACTGACTTTTTATCTGATTTTCCCTTTTTTCTTTATATGTTTTCTCAGACAGCTCTTTCATGCTGCTGATGGTGGAACCATGGCTTTGGATTGGCTGCTGAGCTCTGATGGTGAATGCAAAAATTTTTGTTATATGTGTTAAGAATATAGAATAATGGTTGTGGAGTAGTTTCAGATTGTCTGTAGAAATTCTGCTCTATATGGACGTGTATGTTAATTTTGTGTTAAATCAATGTGACAAAATGCTGTTCTCTAATTCCTGTCCCATGATGATTCTACAGTTTCAGGAGGTGCTTTTCGGATGTGTAATTCCATCTCAAAAGATGACACAACCCCTTTAGTGGTTATTATTCCTGGCTTAACAAGTGATTCTTCTTCTCCGGTAAGTCAATTGTTAAAGCATTATTCCTGCTTGACATTTTAATTATGGATAGGAAACCAAGTCCGGCATGGATCAGTTTCAATTATCTGATAACATTTATCAAGTTCCTAGACAGCAGACTCAATTGCTGTATCAGGGGTGGGACCAACATAGCACTCAGGGTTGGGTTTGTTTAAGGCAGGACAATTTTCTTATGCTTGAGGACATTTTTTTTTTCTAACTTTTTGAGGCCCAATTAGTGCATTTGCTTAACCCTGGGACTTGTTGGTCCCACCCCTGTGCCATTTGGTTCTCTTAGAAGCTGGAAAAGAATCTGAATGCTTTTTTGAATGTGAAGTATGTTTTGAGGCGAAGTTTGATATCCACTTTAGAATTTTAAGAATGTGCACGAGGACTCAAAAACTGCACCTGATCTTAACCTCAACAGTTCAACCAATCAAGAGGCATTGTGATCATTCAGCACTTCTTCAGAGGAGAAATTTCAGACATGGTCACATGCGTCCTCTGCATATGTTTATGAGATTTTTTAAGTTCCTTAATCTTTCTAACTGATGATAGTACGCCCTGACAATTGCAGCTAAGGGTCTTAGATATGATGGACACGCTGTTGGAGATGTTAGTGGCTTTCTGTGCAAGGCCATTGAGCTAAACATAAAATTGCTTATTGAGTAAAATTTTATGCTAAAGATAGCAAGTGAATTCTTATCATGATATTTTTAAGTGTCTTGAAGCTTTAACAACTACAGAGATCACCTTATGCAAAGCATGCAAAGATATTCTGAGAGCATGAGAAACCTTCTAAAGATTCCTGGTGCCCATGTAGTTTGAAATTTCTCTGATCATTCTCAGGAATAGTTTTATTTGAGATCATATGCAAAGCTTTGTGTTCTAATGTCTATGTGAGTTTTTGTGTTTTTAGATGTTTGCTGACAAGTAGATAGAAAGGGGTGCAGATCATTGCATAAATATTATCCAAAAGTAAAGTATATTGAGCAAACCAACGTTGCATTACATGCATAATTATTTGATATTGAAGCTAAACAATACCAAACACAGAAATTAACCATGCTGGAATACAGCATATTGACAATCATAGTCATTTCGTTTCCTACCTGATGTGTTGTTCAGGACACATACATATGTAATCAAACTAACAGTGTTTGTCAATAATAATATTTATTGCAGTATTTAAAGCATGTTGCATTCAGTATGGCAAAACATGGATGGAATGTTGTTGTTAGCAACCACCGGGGACTTGGTGGCGTTTCAATAACTGTAAGTTTTATTTTTCTCTTTTCCCTCTTCCTACCCCTCTCTCTCAACCCCAAAACTTCCCTCTTTATTTGTTTTAAATAAGTTTACAATGCATAGTTGGGTTAGCTTTTATTGATAAGTTTTGACAATGTACTTTGCTTTAATTTTTTATCAGTGTTAATTTGTTACGATATTTAGCCCTTTTGGATGGTTGATGTACCAATTATTAAATTTTTTGCAGTCTGATTGCTTTTATAATGCGGGATGGACGGAAGATGTACGAGTAGTCATTGATTATCTCCATGATAAATATCCCAAGGCTCCTTTATTTGCTATAGGAACTAGCATTGGTGCTAACATTTTGGTATGTTGGCTTTCCCACATTCTAAAATTTTTCCTACCATGAATGCCAATGCATGGTTACCTCATTGTGTTACACATTTATTTGGAGATTACATGCACTAAAATTGCAGGTTCAGCTATCAAATTTTTTTTGTTCAGGGATAAATTAAATTTGTTTGGTTTTAATTTTTGGAAGTTTAAACCTTACGATGAATAATTCCTTACAGGTTAAATACCTTGGGGAGGATGGAGAAAAGGTTCCTGTTGCTGGAGCTGTGGCAATTTGTTCTCCATGGGACCTTTTGGTTAGTTTCTAATCTTAAAAAAAAATCCATTTATCTATAGTTTTCCAATAAAATATTATTAAACTCAAAAAGGATTCTCAATGGCCCTTTTTTTTTCAATTCAAGGAGTGGCATTTCTTATTCCTTTGTAAAATTCCCTAACATGATACTAAACAGCCATCAGGAATTGTAATAGAGTTCAGACCTTGTCTTTACATGCTCCCACATCTTGATGTTTGGCTTCCCCCTTGGTTGGCATGCTGATTCTCAACTCCCTTCCACTATTTAAGTCAGCTGATCTTTAAATTGACAAATTTAGCTCCAGAAACATCACCCCACTATCTTTGGCCATGTGCTTCCACTCGAAATGGTTTTCTAGGCTAGCCTCTTATCATAAGCAATCCTCTATAATCTAGCATGCTTCTTTATGAAGAAATCAGCAACCTTAACTTTGATTCTCAAGTGTGCAACTTGTTTGATGATAGACATTGAATAAAAAGCTTTCATCATTGCTTGATTGTTGTACATTATTATGTAATTTTAGGCTGTATCTAATATATATTTTTTTTTGGTTTTGCAGATTGGTGACAGGTTTATATGCCGCAGGCTGGTGCAAAAACTCTATGATAGAGCGCTTACAATTGGCCTTCAAGGTTATGCAAAATTGTATGTCTCTTTGCTACTTGTTTTAATTGTCTGGCAGAAAGCTAAGTATAGGTTTTTACTCTATATGACTACCAACATTATCTCTATTGGTTCATCTGTCGGGAGGGAGGCATTAAGAGTTGCATCTCAGTCTGTGATTAATATTAGTTACTACTGGTATCATTTTGCTTTGTCTATGTCCTAAATTATCATTGCAGACATGAGCCTCGCTATACTCGACTTGCTAACTGGGAAGGCATAAAAAAGGTTAGCCTTTTTCTCTGTTTTCTTTATTGCCAGAAAACAATTTTTAAAAGCAGCTTGTTCATCAGGTTAAGACGTAAGAGTAAGACCTGGTTTTGTTGCCTGTAGTCATTATAAAAAGCAGTTGACTGTTTTAGCAACTTTCCCTAATGGTGGTTCCCATTTCACACTTGGGAAGGAACTTCCCAAATTTTTCAATAACAACATTACATAGTCTTTAGTATATGCATGCTAGTTGCCCCTCTCCTCTCTGCAACTTTGCTGATTTTTCATTTCCTAAATGAGATGTACCCTAAGTACATTCTCTAACCAGTTTTTTTTTTGATAAGCACTCTAACCAAAATTTGAGAAGAAAACATTTCATACAATTTATCATTTTTGCATTAATTGCATTTTTTGTTTCTATGATATAATTTTCTTGCTTGCCTCTCAACTGATGTCATTTTTCTTGTTCTCCTTCTGTTCTTCAAAACTCAACAGTCACGTTCCATTCGAGATTTTGACAACTTTGCTACTTGCCTCGTTGGAAAGTTTGAGGTAACTATATCTACAATTTCATGTTTATTCTGTTTTATTTTTCTTTATTAAGTTATAAAAATATGACTGTTTTATCAGACTGTGGATACATACTACAGGCGTTGTAGCAGTTCCTCTTATGTGGGTAATGTATCAGTGCCACTTCTCTGTATTAGTGCTCTGGATGATCCTGTATGTACTAGAGAAGCCATTCCCTGGGATGAATGCAGGTGGGCTGTTTTTATCATGCCTTTGCATATTTTAGAAATTGCTTTCTTCTATTATTTTTCAGTATGTGATCCAATATATTTTTCTTTGATAGAGCCAATAAAAATATTGTGTTAGCAACCACAAAACATGGAGGACATCTAGCATTTTTTGAAGGAATAATGGCATCTAGACTCTGGTAATTTTCAGTTCCTCTAGTCTACGTTAGTGTATTAGTGATGCACTTTGCATTAACCTTTATTTCTACTGCTACTATTAAGGCTTTCATTGATTAATACGTTTTCAGTAAATCTTTTGATTACATTCTTCACCTACTCAATATTTATGTGATTTAATCATTGAACTTTTAAAGTTGCTGTGGCTGTTATAGTTTTCTGTAACCGCAAATTGGCATTGGACAGACATGTTCTAACACAACCTTTTTTTTTCCCTTTTTTTTTTTCCTGCTGCAGGTGGGTAAGGGCAGTTGGTGAATTTCTTGCTGTTCTTCATTCTAGTCCGTATATGCATGTACAAAAGAAGGTGCAATTCAAACTCATTAACTTTAGTTCACTCATTAAACTGATGTCACAACGGCAACTGTATGGAAGTTCTTTTTGTTTAAACCGTGTTATTTGATGCTGCCAAATATATCAAAACCCTTTTATTCTTCATATATATCAACTTGTTGCAATTAGGCATTTTCCCAAGTTGTCCTTACAACCTCGATTAACTCGTTTTTGATGCATTGCAGATAGAGAATCCTGGCTCTACATTGTCCTTAGTAACCTCGATTGATCAGGGCCCATATGTAAATGTTGCCGAAGATGGAATGGTTGCTGCAGCTGGCAATGAACATGCAAGTGATAACCACATAGAAGACTTAACCAAGTTAGACAAGATTCACAATGGAAACGGCCATAAATTGGTTCCAGAAACAGAACAGGATGAGCACGAAACCGAAACAAAGTCTGTTATTGAGCCCAGCACCGTTCAGGTTTCCAAAGAAAGTAAAGAAGACATCAAGGATGCCAAGTCCATTGATGTAATTTCTCCGTTAAGAAGATGGTTGAATCAGCTTTGCCGACAAAACAGCGGATCAATATGGTTGCTTTATTGCATTGCCATTGCAACGAGTTGGCCATTAGTTGGCTCAGCGCTTCGCCTTCTGTTCGGAAAGAAGAAGCTTAGAAGATATCCCAATGCTGGGAGGTAGCTTCCCAGGTATTTACAGTGACTAGAAAGCTTTCATTAAACTAACGAGGTTTAAAGTGGGAAACAAGTGGGAAACAAGTGGGAAACGAAGGCTTTCTATGTTTGAATATACTCTATTAATGCTATACCATACTAATATTGTAATAAGTAATATTATAGTTAAAGTATCGTATAGAATTATAATTTTACAATCATAACATATTATTAAATGGTTGAATTTTTTTGAATCAGGTTTTTAGAATCAATGGTTCGACCCCAAGCCTTAAGTGTTTGGGTGAGGTGGTCAGAGTTTCAAACTCTATTGCCGTCGTGAACTCCACCAAAAGCGGCCTGATGGCCGCGCGCCTCATTTAAGGGGGTGGAATGTTCATCCGGTCTGAGAATTGAATCCCAGTCGCAAACAACTAATTCTCATACTAACTTCTTAACCATTACTCTTGTAAAAAAAAAAAAAGTGATTGAATTTTTTTATTTAAAGATTCACTCTTGATGTTTTATATATTCATTTATTTGAGGATGTACTATAATTGTAAGTCTACATTATCTTATAATATTATAAATATACCATATTCATAATATCAACTTGGTCAACTTTATGTTTTTATAATATAGGTTAAACTCTCAATTTGGTCCCTAAATCATTAGACGGACCTTCAATTTGGTCCATATTATTTACTGATTTAGCTCTAAGTTGACTTTTCTGTATGAAAAATAATTGATGTGTTTGTTACTTAATGACAAACAATAGTTACTTAACAACGAAAAACAATTACTCATTGATCACGTGTTACATTAATAACGAGATGCATCAATTGTTTTTTTGTATGAAAAAACTAATTTGTGACAAATTGATAAATAACAGGACCAAATCAAGGTTCATACAATAATTTAGGGGGTTAAATCAGAGATTCTTTTGACGTACAGACTAAATCAAAGATCCATATAATAATTTATTGACCAAATTGAGATTTAACCTATAGCATACTTTTCTTCTCTCTTTGCAGAAGGTAGTGTTGACAGCCATTACGAAGTTTGAAACACCTCATCCTAGCCCACCATTAAGATTTTGAAATTAGTATTGAGTTCCAAATCGTCACACTCTACGTGGTCTACACTCTTCTCTATTCTCCTAGTCATAATCTCACCCATTTTCTGTCTTACTCGTGGTCTTCTGGCGGTGTTCATACCATTTTTTCTCTAGGAATTGGTCCTAATTTCACATGAACTTTTTAATATAAATCTGAAAAATTCGAGCATCATCTAAAACATTGAAAAATCTGAAGACTTGAAAATTTTAAACCAAATTAAAAGCACTCTACGGGTCCCATATAATTTTTCCAAGGCTCTACAATCCACATAAACATTATGCTGACGATTTGCAGACGAGAGGATGAGGCACTAGCAAATCTACTGATCACTACAAAATCAATGAATCTGCCGTTTCCTTGAATTAAGGACAAACGGATTTGGTGAGAAAACCCCCTTTTCACTATTAAGGGAATCAAAGCAAAGAAAGATAAAGGTGATGCTTAGGTTGGAGAATAGAAGTTTCCTCACCTACTTTGAAGCACAATTCATGCCTTATCAAAAAGATTATGATCCCTTCCCCCTAATATTATTATATCTAATCACAAAATTTACATTAAATCAAGGGAAATGCTTAATTTACATTAAATCAAAAAAAATGTTTTTTATATTATCTTTTTATCTTATTTTTTTATACAATTTGTCGTGTTATCAAAATAATTAATTTTTTTAATTCATATGAGACCGTGATATAAAATGCATTCACTCATTTAATAACACATAAAAATTGTATTAAAAGATAAAATTAAAAAATTGTCCTTATAATACCACCCTTAAGTCAAATATGATGCAAATACAAACAAAGAAAGCAAATCGTCAAAACCGATATCTCCTTTATAATCTCAACCTCCATCCATATATTTTCTTTTCTCGTAAGTTTTCTCTTAATACGGTCCTCACGGTAATAAGTGACAATATATGTGATTTTTTTTAATTTTTTAACGTGAGATTTTTTCTTAAACACGCAAATTTTAATTTTAACTTATTGTGTTAGTTACGTTGGATTAAAGAAATGGGGCAAAAAAACAAGAAACATGGTAGAATTTCAAATGGAGGTAACGCCGGGCGAATCTATAGTGGTTGAACACAGCTGATTTTTGACTTCTAACTTATTGTTTCCCACATCAATCTACAGCTCCCCACATGTTGCTAAACTGTGTATCATATTCCAATTATATATATATATATTCTTTGAAAGCCACGAACGGTTAATTTCCCTTTTCTTCATTTATTCGTGTTTGACTAATCAAACCATCATCTGTGCATGGATAGATAGGAATTAACATAATAATCAAGTTTAGATATTTGGTAAAGGGAAATAATCAATTCATATGCAAATATGTAATATGCTCAAGACCTTTCTACATCTTTTTTTTTCTCCTTTAAAA